ATCAAACCATAAGGCACTCTTCTGCAGCATTAGGCAGAAAAACTAGTCTTATAGACATGCCAGTCAATATAATAGCAGGCCACTATCTGGTCCCATCAGCACTACCAGGAAAGGTGCCCACTCCTGGCACTGTAGTCAATCCAGAAGAAAATATTCTATTATGGAGGCAGGACAGCTGCAGGTAAGCCAAGGTCACCCTGGGGCCAGGCCCCAGCAATGGAAGAGTTAGGGGAGATGGGGTTGGATAGAATCCGGAACGGATGGGGAAATACTCAGATGGGCAGACGTTTTGGTGCGGGAGCGATGGCAGGGGTTGTAATGGACATAAGGTGTGAAAGCTGACCAGCCTGTCCAACCGCAAAACCAATTAATGGACATTTTGATCACATGTGGACAGACCTCCTGGCACTGTCACCTCCACTGGCAAGATTGCAGAGAGGGTGTTGGGGGAGGTGGGGAACTGCATCCATGTAATGATGCCTAATTTTAGCAACAGACCCTAACTACATGACAACCATGTAAACAGTGAGGACGTGTCAAACTGCTTGAGCAGATTTTGTGTCCACTCTCACAAGGTTTATATTTGACAACAATGAGTCCAATAATTTCACGATGGTCTATATCAGTATGAATCAGGAACTATGGAAACTGTTTTGACAACATTGTGAACCAGAAAGGATAGCTGCTGTGTGTCCTTATTTTATGTTGAGACAGTATGAAGTGAACATTGTAAACTTTTAGTTTAGCATTTTCAATTGTGCATCACTTTTATTTTTTCTCTCCCTTGTTGGTGTCAAGAGAACTAGCACTAGTTGAAGCAGAGAGAAAGATGCAATACCTTTGTGATATCACTCTCGGTTATGAGAAGAGCTTTGAGGTAATTTCAGATCAATTTGTAGATTTTACAAAGAAGTTGGATTTTAGTCCATATTTCAAAGGCAGGAGATTTGGAAACATGAATGCCAATATGGGGATAACTTTAATGAACTTGTGTCTGAATATTGCAGTTGGCAATGGTTCTAACTTTTGCCACAGCCAAATTTAAATTTAGCTGCTTTTTATGTGTCTTCTCTTTGAACTAAAAGGAAACTGAAAGTAAAGATCCCTCGACACTGTCCCAAGGAAACAGTCGAGGGACAGGACTTTATTCATTCCAGAGGTGTAGTATGTTCACCATTGTGCCAAACTGCTGTTCTGTTTTTTTGTGTTGAAACAAAACTTGCCAAGAGGGAACTGGTCTTTGCCAGAGATGTCGACATCAGGGAACAATGTTAATCTCGGATGGCCATAAGATCCCATTATTCCAACGAAATTCATTAAAAACCGTGGAGATCTCCCTCATACATCGGCCAATATTATCCCTCAACCAATATTGCTAAAATGGATGAGCTAGTCATTACCACCTTGTTATAAATGAAAGCTTACTGTGTGCACATTAGCCAGTGCCTTTCCTACCTTCCAGCAGTAACAGCAGCCAAGGAAGTACTAAAGAACTGCTAAGCTCTTTAGGAATTCCATTCAGGATGCGCGAGGTGTTTTATATATATAGGTAAAAGCTTTGTTGAGTTTATTTTGAGTGACATGAAATATCTGATGGCTATGGTCCTGGGCTGCTCAATGGCATTTAAAGTTTTAAATTTTCTAAGGAAGGCCAAGTAGATATTGAAGGGGCAAATGAATAATGGACGGATGTAATTACTCTGAAGTCTGCAATTGACATAAATTGCAGTATTAAATTTGACAGCAGTCTGTCACTTTTCATGTTTAAGTTTGACACAATTTGTTTTTTTCATTTATCTTTTAGATTTTATGGGTATATCATCTCAGTCAACTTGAAACAATTCAATTTTCATAATGCTGTTTCGAAACGGAAAGGTATGAGCGACCCGAATCTACTGGATGATAGCAACACTGTTGCATTACAGCAGTGAAAAGTAGCCATTGTTAGCTTTGCAACAATGGCAGCAGTCTCATCCTAGAGTCAGACATTGATCATTTGTAATACTACTGAGCAAAAAATCATGACTGGGAATTACTGTCCAGCACTGAGCAAGTTTAGCACTTTCAGACTTGTCAGCTTTCAGAGAGGATGTTCAACTGAGCCACTGGTTGCCGACTCTGCTTAAATGTTGTGGCCTTGTGATTTCTGCCTGGTTTCCAGCTAAAACATTCAAGTCCAAAAATATTCACAAAAACAGTGAACAGTATCTGGTCATTACCATTTGGCAGTTTGTTGGAGTTTGCTGTGTGCAAATGGTCAGCCATGTTTCCTACAAGACAGCGAATGAAGATTGTATAGTATGAAGTTTTTGGGCCTGCATCAAATTTGCGTAAAGATGCAATTTAAGTCAAAGTTTCCCTGTGTTCCATTTAGTATGGCCTACTGAGGTTTCTGAAGGATTAGTACCCTGACAGGCTGAGGTGGCATGTTTTCCTTTCTTGTGACATTTTAATCATTAATTCAAATCACAAAGAAATGACACAAAGGGAGGATAATCACACAGTATATACTAAATGGTATTGGTTCATTGAGAAACTACAAGGAAAGAGAAAGACGTTGTCTTACATGAACACCAATGAAAAGACATTAGTGCCAGGTCTCCTTTTCAGAATCAATTACATTACAATTACATCCACAAAGACCAGACACCATGGGATGAATGACAAAGATTGTGAACAGCACCGCCAGAACCAGTAGTCCACTTTTATTCTCAGCCTATAAACCAAATGGTGCTGGTGGAGTCTTTTGAGGATTCAAAAGTCAATGTAAAGGTTGAATTAACCTCAGGGATGTTTTTAAGGGACTTTGAGGACTGATGTGACCATCCATCCTCTTGACAGCTGACCAGCCAGCCCAACCACCAAACAAATTAATGGACATATTGGTCACATGTGGGCTGGCCTCATGGTGCCTTCACCCCCATGGGCATGATTCCAGGAAGGCTGTCATGGGAACTCGGTGGAGATGGGGAAGTGCAAGCATGATATGATGCCCACCCTCACAAACAAACCCTCCCCACAAGACAACCATGTAAACAGAGATGAAGTGGAAAACAGCAGTTAACTGCTCAAACAGGTTATGTGCTCTTTTTCTGAAGGTTTTTTTTAAAAAAGAATGAGTCCAGTGACTTCACAATGGTTTGACTATGATGTCATAAACCAATAAACAAGGAAACTTGTGACAACACAAACAACAATCAACAATAGCTGCTGTGTGACCTCATTTCATGTTGAGACAACGTGAAGTGAACATTGTAGACTTTTAGCTCTGCAGTTTCAAGTGCGCATCGCTTATTTTTTTTCTCTCCCTCATCAGTGCAATTAGAACTAACACTAGTTGAAGCAGAGAGAAAGGAGCAATACCTTCGTGGTATCACTCTTGGTTGTGAGAAGAGTTTTGAGGTAATTTGAAATCAATTTGTACTGGGCAATATTTGTAAAGAAATTGGATTTTACGACAAATTTCAAAGACAAGAAAATTGGAAACCTGATGGGAATATGGGGGTAACCCTATTGAATTAATGCGTGTATGTTGCGGTTGGCAATGGCTCCAATACTTGCCAAAACCAAAACTAAATTGGCCACATTTTTGTGTCTACTCTTTCAGTGCAGCATAATGTTTCTTCTGGTCTTTGCTGAAGATGATATCAGCAGGGAAAAATGTTCATCTCGGATGACCATAAGATCCCATTATCACAACAATTCAAAACAAAACAATGGAATTCTCCTGCATACATCGTCTACTATTTATCTCTCAATGAATATTGCTTCAATGGAGAAACTAGTCATGACCAATTGCTATTCATGAAAACATGCTGTCTACATGTTATCCAGTGCCTTTCCTACATTACAGCAGCCAAAAAGTACTCAGATGTAAAAAGCGCTTTGGTAAATCCTTCCAGATGTTCAAGGTGGCGGATGAGAGCAAAGCTTTGTTGAGTTTCATTTTGACCTGAAGTATCTGAAGGGTGCTCTCCTGGCTGCTCAGTTGACAAGTTAAGATTTTAAGTTTTCTAAGGAAGACCAAGTAGATAGTGAAGGATCAAATGAATATTAGACATATGTAAATAGACTGAAATGAGCAGTTGATATTTTTGGTTCAGTGTGTAAATTTGATGTACTCTTTCTCTTTTCATGTTGAATTTGGCCTTCACTTT